ACGACGACAGTGAAGGCGGCGAGCAAGGGACGACGAGAGCGAGCATCTCTTCGTCGATTGCAAACGAAGACCCTCTTCCCATCGATAGCTAACGAAGACTCTGCACAAAACCCCTCTTCCCATCGATAGCAAACGAAGACCGCTGACCTACCTCCTCCACCGCAACTTTTTTCGGTTAGTACTATCTTCTTTGTGTTTAGCTTGATAATTAGCTGCAATGGCGGTTCCTGTTGTTCCTTCACTTGTTTTGAAGGAGAATTTGCAGCATTTACCTTCTCTTCACCTTGTTTTTGCTGTTGAGGTTGTGCTTGATTTGTCTCCGTTTCAGCAACATCCTTAGCAGGCTCTTGTTGTTGTTGTTGTTGTTGTTGTTGTTGTTGTTGTTGTTGTTGTTCCTCAATCTTCTTCTGTTGAGGAGGAGCATTGGGTTCTTCTGTTTTTAGGGGAGAGTTCGAGTCTGAAGAATTCACAGCAGTTGTGGTTGTTGTTGCGGTTGTGGTTGTTGATGATGCTTCCTTTGGTGAGGAAGCTTTGGATGGCTGTTGTTGTTGTAGTTCTTCCATCTTCTTCGTGGGAGGATTCGAATCGGACGAATTCACAGCATTCATTGTTTTTGTGGTTAATGATTCTCCTTTTTGTGGGGAAGCTTTGGTGGTAATGGTGGTGGAGGAAGTCTGTTGTTCTTCATTCTTCGAGGGGGCATTTGTATCGACCGAATTTGTTGCATTCGTTGTTGGGATGTTCTAGATTTACACATTTCGGTAGGGGGATTGAAATTCCATGCTCGTTTTAGGTTTATGAGTTTAATTGGTCATGTCCTTTTACCAGTTTGATGTCCTTGTACTATCTTCTTTGTGTTTAGCTTGATAATTAGCTATATATTGAATGATTTAGTGTCAAAGCAAACTATCAATTCACATATGAGACCTGCTTGTTGATGTCCTGGTATTGGTTTAATTGTGGACCTCATACATGTAGGTCGATGTTGATCAAAATCCTTCTGAAAGCCATTGTAGTTCATCTTGTAGACCATCTTATTGTTTACAGAATTAGGGGTGAGTTGGTTGATTCTAAACTTGTCATGATAAGTAGCATGTTCTACTTCTGCTGGTCTATTTTCCTTGGTGTGGCTGTGTCTCCAGTGGGAAGGAACATGTTGTCAATTCCAAAAAGCTTCTTTTCATATGGACAGAGAGGTCTTTGTCAAAGCAACGTGGTGTAATGTGGTTGTTGGTTGCTCCTCCATTAACCATACATCCATAGATTTCCTGCTACTAAAGTTCATTGTGAGTCGATTTACACATTGAAGCTTGAAGGGAGAGTTGTGCATGGTTGTGGTTGCCTTGTTGGCTAGCAACTATTTGTAGTATGCTTGTTGTGTGGATGTATTGTAGAAAAGGGTAATCGAAGCATTTGTCTTCTGTGATTCTTTGCATGAGCTTTGCATTAGTCTTATGTGATTCTTTGCATTCATTTGAGCTTTTTATTTCGTTTGAATGCTGGCTCCGTCTACGTTTATGTGATTAGTACCTCAGTTTACTATTAGAGCAAGATTGTGATGCAATTGATAGGTTATGTCGTGATTCATCAAGTAAACCTTGGACTTCATCTCCTCATGCTTAATCATTAGTTCATTCTTTCATGCATTCCAGTATTATTTTTCTGATTAGAGATTCATCTGTAAATATGCACTTCTCACGGCTCATCTGTAAATACCACGGGCGTGAGATTAACCCGTGATATGGTCACAGCTGAAACTCAAAAACACGCCTCACATATGAAAATATCACGGCCGGGAGATGTACCGTTAGATTTTTTTTTAAAAAGGGGGGAGTTCCAGGGGTTTTCACGGGTTGGGTTCGACAGTATCACGGCCGTGAGATGAGCCGTGTTTGTGTAATTGAAATGCTGGACTTCTCACGGGTGTGAAATTTCAAGAATTAGCCGTGAGAATATTTAGTGGGTGTTTTTAGTTTCACGGCTTATTTTAACGGTCGTGATTTATGAAGCCAAAGCCGTGAGATTGTCTGGAGATATGAAAACTTCTCTTTGCTTCTCACGGGTCATGTCACGGCCGTGAGATTTTGCATTTTGGGTGAAATTTAATGAAAGCTGGGTGTTTTCAGTTCTTCTGGTAGTTAGAACTTGTATTTTGTTTGTACTCTTCGGCATGCTTATAATTCGTGTTTCAAGGCATGCTTATAATTTTTCTGTTGTTTTAATTTTGCAGTTTGCTAAAATTGTTCTATAATGAAGACGAAGAGGCATCAAATTTTCAGCACGCAATGTTCTCCTAGGAAAGTATTCTCAGTAGTCTCAAATTTAGAGGCTTGTCAATCAGAGGCCATTAGGAGATGTGGCTTTGGTCGTATTCTTGAAGTCAAAGCAAGAAAGCTACAACGTGAGTTGTTGGAGAAACTTGTGAAGAGCTTTAATCTGGAAGAAAGCACAATTAAGGCGTATGGGTTGGAAGTGCATATTTCGGCCAAAGATTTCGAGCGAATTATGGGCGTGCCTGAGGGAGGTACTGATATCATCTTGAATGGTGAAGAAGTGGAGGGAAGATCAGAGGAACTGGAACCATTTAGAGTGTTTTCGACACGTGATTGTGGCCGACAGGCGATTTCCACAAGCTTAATGAAGAAGGAGTTGTCGAAGATGAAAGATAGCGACGATCTATTTCTTCAATTGTTTATTTTGTACGTAATGGGGGTGCTATTAGTACCAAGTAGAAGAGAGGACATTTCCTTGTCTTCGGTATACGCTGTCACCGATGTTGCAGACATTCCGAAGAAGAATTGGGCATCCTTTTGCTTCAATGAATTGGTCAAATGCATCTGCGACCATAATGCTTATAAAAGAGAGTATATACCGGGTTGCTTGCTGTTTTTGGAGGTAAATAATTGTTAATCCCGACTTTCTACATATTTGTAATGATTAATCATCATGTTGATTATAGTATTTTTTTTTGTAGTTAATATTCTTGGAGCATGCAAATGGTATTTTCCAAACCATTGATGGGAGTTTGGATTTGATGAGTTGGGGGAGCGGAGACGTGGAGTTATTGTTAACAAAAGTGGTAAGATTGATAGTATATTTGATTCTTTTGACAAGTTGGAGCATGCTAATGGTACATTTGGTTCCCTTTTTAATTAATTTATAGGTTTCCAGCAGTTCGGGGAAAAGATCAGCTGAGGATGCCGGTTTGAAATCACCTCCAAGGAAACGGGGAAAAAGAGACGGGAAACGGCACAAACCCGACGGGGATGAGCTGCTTCTCTATGAGCGTATTGATGCTCGGTTTAGTACCATGGAGGGTAGAATTGACAACTTTGGTCAAGAATTTAGAGTGGCAATGGGTGATGTTGCTTCTAGAGATAATGAGCTAATGAGCCGGGTTGTGAAAATGGAGAACGAATTTCGGGCTTTTAGAGACGAAATCGGTACTGCGTGAAGTCCCTTATAGAGGCAGTGAAAGCAACTGTAGGTGATCCGTTGTCAAGGGAGCAGCCTAGGGAACCCATTTCTCCTACAGCTGAGTTGAAAAAGAACGATCAGAAGGGTGAGGTTGAAAAACCTAGGGAACCCATTTCTCCTACCTTGGAATGTGTCAAGACTGCCAAAGTTGAGAATTCGGGAGAAGCTGAGGGGGAAATTGGAGATGAGAGATGTTCTGAATCTCCTTCTATGAAAGTTGTGAAAAAGTCTCCTTGCAAGCATCCTAAAGCGTCGCAAGTTGAGAAATTCATATTGTTGAGTGATGAAAGTGTTGCTGCTAATGAGGGTTGTTCCAAGGCTGTGAAGGTATTTCACTTGATTAATTTTTCTAATTATTGGTTCTTATGGTGTGGTTACTAATGAACTGGTTTTGTTTTTTTATGTTTTTGAACAAGAAAGGGGCGAAAGGGAGGTGCACTACGTAGTGTGTCTAAATTGAAGCCTAGTTTGTATGTGGTCTCTCCATTCGAACGGGCAAATCCCAGAGCTAAGAAAGCACAACCTTTGTACCGTGCTCCTCCCTTTGTTGTTCAGACACCATTGACTCTGGAGGCAGTAAAGATGCTTCAATTTGCTTTTAGTAGTGAGCTTCCCGAAAGGTACCTCCCGAAATCATTACAAGTAAAATTGGATCATATTTGTAGGATGTTTTTGGTATTTGCTTATTCTAATGTTGTGTTGTTTGAATTTGGTATTGTATAACAGTGACACATTGGTTAGTCTTGGTGGCGGGGTTCTTTACTTGTTACGTGATAATTTGGTCGAGCTTTTGCCAAGGACCAGAATTTCAACAAGGGTAAGTTCCTTTATGTGTGTAATTTAGTAGATTGAACGTGTATTGCTGACTTTGGTATATGTGATGATGATGCATTAGATTATAGAAATGGCGTGTCTATGCAAGACACTAGAAGAACGAAGTTGTGGTAGAAGTGCTGGCTTGTCTTGGTTCTTTCCACCTTCAGTTTCGGTACAGTTATCTGCTTTGTCTATTCTTGTCATGAAATTAATCTATTTTTTGTTACATGTAGCTTGTGTGGGTGACTGTGTTTTATTTTTCTAGGATCGTGCGAGTCATTGCAACGAGGAGCAATTTATGGCTAAGATGCGTTCATATAAGATACATGAGCGATACTGTATTGGTGAGCTACTTTACTGCAGTAAGGTATGTTGTAATGTTGTTTTCTAAAAGGAAATGGCTTCACCCTCCTATGTTAAATTGATAATTATTGTTTGTTTGTCCATTATTTCAGATTCATGTCCCAATTTTCAACCTCGCGTTGAACCACTTCTATCTGGCGGTCTTTAACATGGAAGCCAAAGAAATTGAAATCTGGGACTCATTACGAGGAACTCATAATGAAGAATATGATGCAAGGATGCAGAAACTGGTTTGCTTCTTGTTCTTCAAGTTTTCAAGCTTGACTTATTGCTTAGTTGTTAGTTGTTTTTCATTTGTCGACTTTGTCGTTATATATCGATGAGGGGGATGTTTTCATTTGCAGAAATTGGGTCTAGATTGGTTGCTTAAGGATGATATCTGCGGGGCGTTTTCATTTGTGGACTTCGTGGTTAGATATCGCCAGGATGTTGCTTGCCAACCAAATGGGTACCCTTTGTTGTTGTTCAATCGTGCACTGTTCTAATTAAGTTCGATAATTATTTGTTCGCATCATGACCATGGTAATTATTTGTTATATTACAGATTTGATTGTGGACTATTTGTCATCAATTACTTGCTGGATCCAGAGCGATATTCCAAGAAGCTTGACCAGTTCGACAGTGACTATGAGCGGGCACAACTTACAATGTACTTGCTCACTACGGATGTGAATGAGGTGAAAGCTACAGTTAAGACACAATCCGATGAATATTTTGAGAGACATGCAAGACCTGCACAAATTGAGACTGAGAAGGTGAATTTCAAGAAAAACTTACTCAATCGAGGAAGAAAGCCGTTGCATGCGCATGGGGAGAAAAAGGGTAGAAAGTCTAAGAAGCATTGAGACTTGTGATGTTAATGTAGAGTTTAGTTAATGTGGATGTTGATTGACATTTAGGATAATGTAGATGTTGAATGAATTTTAGTGAATGTAGATGTTGAATGATGTTTAGGAAACTGTTGAAATTACAATGAAGTAATGAATGAAGCATTATTCAGTGATGTTATTTTTTCTCTATATTATGTTTAATGTGTCGACAAGGGAAAAATTATGCATGATCATATACCGAAAAATGGTTGAAAATGGACCTGAAAGCAGGTGTGTTTTTGGATTTGTAATTCTGGAAATATCACGGCTGTGAGATAGGCCGTGAGAGAGACCGTGAGATTTTTTCCATACAAAGGTGGAGTTCCAGAGAGTTTCACGGGTTGCCTTCGACAGTATCACGGCCGTGAGATGAGCCGTGTTTTGGATATGAATGATGGACATCTCACGGCCACTTTGTAAATTCTCATGGGCGTGAGACTTGGCCGTGAGATGGGATTTTATAACGGCTTAATGATGGTAATTTTACGCCCGTGAGACTGGGCCTTGAGATTCAAAAAACCTGAATCTCACGGTCTTGAAAGGACCATCTCACACCCGTGAGATTCCAGAAAGTTTCACGGGTTGCCTTCGACAGTATAACGGCCGTGAGATGAGCCGTGTTTTGGATATGTATGATGGACATCTCACGGCCACTTTGTAAATTCTCATGGGCGTGAGACTTGGCCTTGAGATTCAAAAAATCATTCCCTATTATCGGTTTTGGGTTGAACCCCATGTAATTGTGAACCGATGTGAGATTGAGGTTATGTATATGGTTGAATGAGCGTTTGATTATCGGTTTTGGGTTGAACCCCATGTAATTGTGAACCGATGTGAGATTGAGGTTATGTATATGGTTTAGCGAGCGTGTGATTATCGGTTTTGGGTTGAACCCCATGTAATTGTGAACCGATGTGAGATTGAGGTTATGTATATGGTTTAGTGAGCGTTTTATTATCGGTTTTGGGTTGAACCCCATGTAATTGTGAACCGATGTGAGATTGAGGTTATGTATATGGTTGAATGAGCGTGTGATTATCGATTTTGGGTTGAACCCCATGTAATTGTGAACCGATGTGAGATTGAGGTTATGTATATGGTTTAGTGAGCGTTTGATTATCGGTTTTGGGTTGAACCCCGTGTAATTGTGAACCGATGTGAGATTGAGGTTATGTATATGGTTGAATGAGCGTGTGATTATCGGTTTTGGGTTGAACCCCATGTAATTGTGAACCGATGTGAGATTGAGGTTATGTATATGGTTTAGTGAGCGTTTGATTATCGGTTTTGGGTTGAACCCCATGTAATTGTGAACCGATGTGAGATTGAGGTTATGTATATGGTTGAATGAGCGTGTGATTATCGGTTTTGGGTTGAACCCCATGTAATTGTGAACCGATGTGAGATTGAGGTTATGTATATGGTTGAATGAGCGTGTGATTATCGGTTTTGGGTTGAACCCCATGTAATTGTGAACCGATGTGAGATTGAGGTTATGTATATGGTTGAATGAGCGTGTGATTATCGGTTTTGGGTTGAACCCCATGTAATTGTGAACCGATGTGAGATTGAGGTTATGTATATGGTTGAATGAGCGTTTGATTATCGGTTTTGGGTTGAACCCCATGTAATTGTGAACCGATGTGAGATTGATGTTATGTATATGGTTGAGTGAGCGTTTGATTATCGGATTTGGGTTGAACCTCATGTAATTGTGAACCGATGTGAGATTGAGGTTAAGTATATGGTTGAATGAGCGTGTGATTATCGGTTTTGGGTGTAATTGTGAACCGATGTGAGATTGAGGTTATCTATATGGTTTAGTGAGCGTTTTATTATCGGTTTTGGGTAGAACCCCATGTAATTGTGAACCGATGTGAGATTGAGGTTATGTATATGGTTGAATGAGCGTGTGATTATCGGTTTTGGGTTGAACCCCATGTAATTGTGAACCGATGTGAGATTGAGGTTATGTATATGGTTGAATGAGCGTGTGATTATCGGTTTTGGGTTGAACCCCATGTAATTGTGAACCGATGTAGATTGAGGTAATTGATATATGGGTTGATTTTCGTTTGATTATGGTTTTGGGTTAACCCATCTAATTATAACCGATGATTTTTTTGGGTTGGTCATAATGAAGAAATTCCTAGATCCTAAACCCTCACCGTCGTAAGTCGTAACAGTGATGCCGTTTCTTCCTTCTCGTCCTCCGTCGGCGCCAGAGGACTGATCCTCGGTTCCTCCCTGTCGGCTTCTTCCTTCCAGCTTCCCTCTCTCCCAGCCTCAGTTCTTCCTTCGTCTTCCCTTCTCTACCCATCCTTCGCGACGAAACCAGATTCTTCCTTCGTCGGTTCCTCCCTGTCGGCTTATTCGCCCATCCTTCGCCACCCATCCTTCGCGACGGAAGAGGCTTAATCTAGCAATCTTCCTTCGTCGTTTGTTGCTGACCTTCCACCGCCACCGCCAATCATCTCCGTTCAGCTCCCTGACTCCGCTCCCTGCCTTATTGTTTCAGGTACCCGCCGGCTCCCTCTTGTTTCATCTCGGATGATTAATTCTTCTGTTCTGTTTCGGTTCTGCTCCGTTTGTGATTGTGGCGCTGTCGTTGTCCAATGGCGATCTGGAGGCCGTGGATCTTGGCGCGCCTCTGTTTGTTTATCACCGTTTCTCGAACTTGCGGATAGCGGTTTCCAGGCTCATTTAGTTCTTCGTTCATCCGGTTGAGGGAATTAGCTATGGTTTTGTGTTCCTCGTTTGATTTTTGTCCAGTAATCCGTCCGTCTACGATCTTGTTCATTCTGGGTTTCCAGGTGAAATGGATTGCCCCTGGGTTATTTCGTTCATTCTGTTTGGGGGGACTTGATATTGTGTTTGTCTATTCGATCATGGTGGCTTGATTGGTGTCTTGTGAGGGTGATTGGGGGGTTTCAGAGAGAAAACTACTGTTTCCTGTAGGGAATTTGTTCATAGTTTTGTTCTTTCTGGTCGTTTGTCGCGGAAGTGAAGGGGAAACTATCGAGTTGATATGTGGATTACAGTTACCAGCCAGCCCTTCATTTCAATTGTCTCGTGTTTGCCTCGTGTTTGTTAATTGATTAGTGAAGTGTTCGATTTGGTCGGCTGTGGGTGGTGAATATGTCGATTTCAATTGTCTCTAAACTTCATTTTGTTGCTTGTTTTCAGTTGATCAACTATGGAAGGGTTGATGGATGATATGAGCACAGGCAAGGACACGGGAAATGACTTGAATGTTGGTTTAGATTGGGGAATGAATTATGGAGATGATACCGGTGGTGTTAGAGATAGTGACGATATGAAGGACAATGTCGACACCAGCGATAGTGATTCTGAGGATGATAATAACACTAACATTGGTGATGATGATAAAGAGAACATCTCAGATGAGCATTTGCACAGCTTCGAAACACAGCCACACAGCTCAGAGAACATCAAAGATGCTGCAAATCCAGCCATGGTTCCACCGTACTCGAGTATGTATGACTGGACTTTGCTTGATAAAGTCGGGAATGGTAAGCCTTATTCTAAATGGGAGTCGGATGATGTTGTGGGTTATGAGTTTGAAACCCTTGAGGAGGCTGGCAAGTTCTATTCAACTTATGGTTGTGCCATGGGGTTCAGCGTACGAAAGAACACTCACACATATTCAAAATATGGAGTTAAAAATATGCAGCGATGGGTTTGCTCACGCGAGGGGGAGCGTCTTCCAGTCCACAATGACAAGGAGAACAGAAAGCGTGAACCTAGGCCTGTAACAAGGCTCCATTGTCCGGCTGCTTTCAAAGTCAGTTTTGTTGAGGCAACTAACCGATTCAAGGTGAAGCAGTTTGTACCAACACATTTTCATCCCTTAGCTGGAGCACATGAAGTGCAGTTTTTGAGTTCTCATCGCAAGGTAGATGACGCAAGTAAGGCTCAGATTCGATCACTTAGGGCTGCTGGTATTCGCACCAATCAAATCATGGATTATCTAGTGAATTGTGCAGGAAGCTTTCAGAACTTGGGTTTCACTAAGACCGATGTCTACAATTTTGTTAGTGCGGATCGGAGGTCGGAGATCTTGGATAGTGACAGTGAAGCTGCACTTGCCTACTTACAAGCACGGGCAACTACCGATCCTCGTTTTTATTGTAGATATACAGTAAGTGACGGTGGTGAACTAGGCAATATGTTATGGGCTGACTCTCCTTCACAATTGGATTATAGTCTCTTTGGAGATGTTCTTGTTTTTGACTCGACGTACAAGACTAATGCATATAATCTTCCATTTCTTCTATTCATTGGTGTGAATAATCACAATGCAAGCACTGTTTTTGCATGTGCTTTACTTGCGGATGAAACGGCGGAGAACTACGTATGGATTCTAAATGCTTTTTTACATTGCATGGGTGGTAAGAAGCCAACCGCAGTTATAACAGACGGTTGTTCTTCAATGAGGAAAGCTATCAAGTCGGTTCTCCCTGGATCCCGACATCGGTTATGTTCTTGGCACTTGGGCAATAACGCAGAAGCGCGTGGCCATGCTGAAGGCTTCCGGGAGGATTTCAAACGATGCATGCTAAACTGCAGTTCTATTCCACAATTTGAAGCTACGTGGAAGGAAATTTTGTCCAAGTATGACCTGTAGCACAATGCGTGGATGAAGAAGATGTATAGGCGACGAGCTCTATGGGCCACAACTTACTTGAAAGGTATTTTCTTTGCTGGGATGACTACCTCACAACGTTGTGAAAGCATGAACTCTTATCTAGACAAATTCTTGCAAAGTAAGATGAAGTTGTTTGAGTTTGTCAAGCAGTTTGACATGGCACTTTTGTATAGGAGACAAACTGAGTTACATGACCAGTTTAAGACAATACATACTGATGTTGTTTTGATGACACATTTACATGAAATTGAAAGACATGCCTCTATAGTATATAC